TCTGTTTCTTCTCTTGGTGAAATAATAAAAATGCAAATGAATCATTGTTAACCACAGCTGTGGCTCGTTTGAGGGATTGGGGGTGGACTTGGGGTTTATTTTCAGTAACCCAGCTGCAATACCTGTCTGTAATACTAGAAAAAAAAAAATCTAATCATTTCTACTTGCAGTACTATTATGTGCTAAGCTTAACTGGAAGCCTTGGAATGGGCATAAGTTGTATGTCCTACATTTCATCCTTATCCTGGGCCTGCATTGCACTGGAAAAATATCGCCACCTTATACCAGTATTTGGTTCAAGACGTCAAATGTGTTCAGCCTATGGCTGAAGAAGGACAGAAGAGAGGATAAAATGCATATCGAGGGCGGCAAAGTGAGAGAGAGAGGAGGGAGATCCAGGGGAAGAGGGTGTTGCCACGGTCCACCCTCTATGTCTAATCTCTTTACAGCAAATTGGTAAGGTTTTAAGTTTTACTTCTTTTTACTGTTTTTGGTGTCTGCCTTCCTTACATTTTTTCCTCAACGGTTTTAAAAGGAAAAAAGGTATTTTTTTTCCTATATTGGGGCTACATTTTTTGATTGTAAAAGTATTTGATGGCCTTTTGATGAATGTCTTCCACAGTGAATAAGAAAACTCAGTGGCTTAATTTAGGAAACATGTTAACACACTATGTTTTTGAAAATTGTAATGAAGTCTACATAAGTGATTTACAGGTACAAAGAATAAAAATAAAGGTAACTTTACCTTTCTTAAATACTTCCTGCCTTAAAGAGAGCGTTTCCATGACTTTTAGCTGGTGAAAGGGTTTAATATCTGCAGAGCTTTATAAAAATATTTCAGTGCATACTGGTATAATAGATGATCATGCAGTTGCAGTTGAGTCTTACCACCTTTTTGTTTGTCTTTTATAATGTCTTCAGTCTGAGTGTGCAAAGTCAATTTGTAATATTTTGCAACCCTATGATTTTTTTAAAATAGATGCTGCTTGCTATGTTCTCCAAACCTTTTTGAGCCATAGGATCCAAGCCATAAAATTATTTATGCATGTTGAATTCAGTCAGAAAAAGCTTTGCTTATTTAAATGGCGGTTCGAGTGAGATAAGATGAAATCCTATGACATTAAGCAAAAATAGAACCATGAAAAATGATTGGAAATATACCTTTTCAATTGTGGCAATAAATGGAACAATTGGTAACAGCTCATCTTCGGACAGAAAGCCTTTTTTTTTTTTAAATCACTCCCTCTAGACCTCCTCTTCCCTTATTGCAGCAGTCTACTGAGAACTTTATAACTGTAGCTAATAAATTAGAAACTAAATAATGGTAAGGGCAGAAATTGTACTTAAAGTGCAGGTCTTCGTTCTCTGACAGTTTATGATGTCTGAAAAACAGAACCCAAAAAGCTATGGTGATTTGTACAGGCTTCATTTCAGACTGTAAATGGCTTGTACTACTCTGATACTTGTTTTCAAATGAGTTTACTAACTATAGTGTTGACTGCCTGACCAAATTCCAGTGAAAGTTTTACACCAAAATATTCCTCCTCAGTCCTATTTGCTAGTAACATTTGCACTGTGATTGGGTGGCTATAACCACCCCATAGTTAAACCAGTTTCATAATTAGTAGTACTGCCAGCAATAGTGGCAAACACTAACTTTCTGCATAAAAAGTATCAATTGCACACCTACCATCCACACAAATAAGTTTTTCAAACTTAACATTCAGTGAAGTTAATTTTCTATACTGTGGCAAGTTTATTGAGAAATTGTTTCATAAATGGATATTCCTACTATGACTGTGAAAACATGTCAAGTGCCACTTTAGTGTCACAGACAGAAAGCACACACCTATGCAATATGGCTTACCCTATATTTATTTGTAAAAACCCAAGCATAGTTTAAAAATATATGTCAATAATACTAGTCTTGAGTTTCTAAGAAGGTTCTTTATGATTATTCCAGGTAAGTGTATAATGAGATTAAGTGTTTTTCTTTCATCACTTGATTATTTTCTTTAAAATCAGCTATTACAGGATATTTTTTTATTTTATACATGCTGTTTTTTAATTAAAATATAATCATTGAGAACTGAAGTTTACTAATTTTGATTTTATAAGGTTTGTAGCATTACAGAATAAACTGAGATTTATAAACCAGCTGTGATTAACAATGTAAAGTATTAATTATTGAACTTGAACCAGATTTTTAGGAAAACTGTTATTTCTTTTTCCCCTTTATGGTCTTAACTAATTTGAATCCTTCAAGAAGGATTCTTCCATACTATTTTTTGGAATAGAAGGTAATTGGGCGGGGGGGGGGGGAAGAATGCATGTATGATACTCCATAAATTCAACATTCTTTAAGAAATAAATGATTATAAATAAGCTGCATCTTCAATAGTATTAATATCCCAAGCCTTGGATTTTATATTTAATATAGGACCTAACTATTTTGGTTACTTAGTCATATGGTTCCTAGCTTATAAGGGCTAGATCTAAGATTATTCTCATGAGAAATGTTCGTTTTATGCAGAATGGATTTTGAGGCTGTGAAAAGGGTTAATTCCTCAAATAAAAATATCATGTCCAAACATCTACCTTTTTTCATAGGAGTAGACACTAGCAAGCTGGACAAAATAATCATAAAGCATTTGTTCCACCATGACCTGTGGTCTGTTGCTGAGTGATACAAAATTCTTCATGTGTGATTCTTAATTTACCACTATAGCACACGTATTATATCAGTGGATTATCTAAAGTAACATTTGAAAGATGGGTTCATCTGTGTTTGCTCTTTAAACTATTATTTTTTTTCCTACCCCAAGTTGGCTTTGCATCTACCAGAGTAAATTCTTCAGCTGCCTTATTAGGAGTGCTTTGAGGGTAACACGTTTTCTGCTTTTCATCTTGTTTAGTTTACTGTATTAAGTATTTGATTTCAGATTGATTGAATGTAAATAGAAATTAAATGCAAATTTGAATGAACATAAAATAGAAGTGATTTTTTAAAATTATTATTATCCTAAGATAGGAAGAAATAACTATCAGGTACACATGTGGTTTCAATAATTTTTCCCATTAACATGCCAGATGTGTTCAGATTCTCATATTTAATAAACTTTATGTGAAGAATGACAGTCATAAAACTGTTTTTGTGGAGAAATTGAAGCAATTTAAATTTATAACAAGTTTTAGTACTGATTTTATATTAGGTGTTAAACATCTGTGATTTCCAAGTTCTGTCAAATAGAATTGAATTGGTTGCTTAAAAAAAAAGTTCATGTGAAAAGTTATGTGAAAGCCAGCTTCACATAAAAACAATGGAAGACTTTCTTGTGCTAACATACAACAGTTTTTCCAGCCACATTTGTCAACTACATTACCTGATGTGTATGAACAAAATAACATAGTGGACAACTCTGTTTTTAACTAATGTCTCAATATATCTACTGTAAGATGGGTGTTTTGTGTAAACCACCTCTTATTTATGAGGTAATTCTATCACACTTGCCAAGATGGTTTCTCTACAGAAGTTCTCAAACGTACTTTTTTATAAAACATAGTAGTGACTCTTGATGTTGATAAAACAGTCTTTTAGAGGATATGATCTGAATTCACAGAATAAATGGGGTTTGAATCCCTATTCCTGTTTTTGAGGTGAAGGAATAAAAATAGAGAAATGCTTCTAGTTCATCAATGTTACTAGTGAATGGCAAAGCTCTCCTGTTACATTTCCCTCCTTTTAAACTCATATGTGAACTGCTTTCTTGTTTGTTAAGAAAACAAAAACAAAAAACCCCACTGTCCACCAGGGACTTCTTTTGTTATTCAGTCATATTAAGAAACAAAGCTATCCATATGGCCATAGGGTAAGTAAGTGTGGTAAGTAGGTATTGTATTAGGGCTGAAGTAACCCATGTGGTTAAGGTGTTATTCTTATGTTTTTATCAAGAAGTCAGCATATCCTTCACACCCAAATTCTAATCTCAAATTGTCTTTCTCACTCATCCCCTGCTGCATACCTAAATAACAACTATTAGCTTCACCACAAAGTTAGGAAGGTGATTTAAGGCCAAGTAAGCTTGTTTTTTAGTATTTGCAGTGGTTCTCAAAGTACGTAACATAGTTAAGTATTTCATCCTCAATGAACAGGAACAGTTGCACTTATAATCTAGCAATATTTACCTGGGGAGAAAAGTTACAGGCTAATGTTCTTTTGTCAATTTGGGTGGCCATAAGGCATGAAAAGTGGTTTAACCTGTATCTGGTTGGTCACTATCCTTATTAATCCAGGTTGGTTTAATCTTTGTCTTATCAGCACTGCAAATTTGTTTTCTACCTCTACCTCGTAGCTTCTACTTCCCACCACTATCTTTTTCTTGTGTGCAAACTGATAGATGGTAAAAGAGAAAATGGGCAGAGGCCTTGCATCTAAATATATATAATAACCAGTCCTTTGGATTTCTGGTATAGATCCATCCCCCCTTGGAGGTTTCATAGTGAGAGAGAAAGTGCCTCATTCTCTTTCCACCACCCTGCACAAATACCTGTAGACAAACAAACCACACTCTCCAAAGCTTTTGTTGGCCTGAGTGCAAGCTTTAATCTCCCAAGTAATGGTGATTCAAGCATGAGATTCCAGAACTCTTCTGGAGAAGACTAGTTATATGGGGAAATCCTTTTTTTTTCTTTTTTTTTCTTTTTGGCCACGCACCATGTGGGAGCCTAGTTCCCCGACCAGAGCTCAAACCCACGTCCCCTGCATTGGAAGTGCGGAGTCTTAACCACTGGACCGCCAGGGAAGTCCCGAGGAATTCTTTTCTAAGTGTTTGAGTTGGTCTTGTTTGTCACTCTATTCAAATCATCAGTGAAGCCAGCTGTTTGTAATCCACGTGAATTATTTTAATAATCCAAGAAAGTCCATGACACTTTCCAAAAAGCAAGATCATGAACATTAAAGCTGATGGCAGGATTGTATGTATGAAGTCCACAAAGAAAAGGAATTTAAATCATCTGTTCTCAATGACTGCTAATCACACTACAGAGAATAATACAATATTAAAATATTTCATCCTCAGTAAATTAATCTTCCTTAGAAAAATCTGATTGTACAGGTAAACTATAGCATTTAGAGCTTTCATTTAAAAATACAAATTTTATGAGAAATTTTAGAATTTTTAGAATGGGAATTATAAAAGTCAATGTTAAAGAAAATTCTACTTTCAGGTAATGTGTATCTTAAAATATTATGAAAAATATTCTTTATTCCGAAAACAGTGTCAGGAAAGAATACTTGAATTCCTCTAAAACCACTAGTTCTAGTTATCCAGTTGTCATTTTGGTAACGTTAACAAGAAAACACATTTACAATTTAACACTGCAATTATCTGTCAAATAATTAGGATAGAATAAATGTTGCATATGCATTATGTTGAACATTACTTATGTATTTTTTTAAATATAGGGTTCTTTCATTTAATCTTTTGAGAAGCTGGACTACACACTTGCCTTATTATAATATTCTAAAACCATTTGGAAACATTTTCCTTAACTTCCAGCCCTGAAAATCCATTCTAATGTCTTTACCAATAGTCACTGTAACCAAATAAAATTAGTGTTTTGTGGCCTTAATATTAAGTTTAGAACTTAATATATTTGAAGGTGTGATGAAGTGGCTCCGTCTTGCCATTTGTTTATATGGTCTGAAATCACAGTTCTGCACAGCGGACATGTTTTCTCTCTGTTAAACCATAAGGTAATGCACTCTTCACAAAATATATGCTGTAAGGGAATTAAGAACTAGATTTTAAAGTTGATAACATTTCAATTTTAAATTCATCACATTGCAGAGAATCATACTCTAGAGCTGAAAGGGAATTTGGAGAACACTAATCCCTTAATTTTACAAGTGAGAAAACAAAGTATAACATTCAAGAACACAGCGGTGTTCGTGGTAGAGGCACAAGTATTATTCTGACTTGTACTATCCGTTTAACCACTTCTAATAAAATACAAGCTATCCTCAGGTGATAACTTTAAGATCAAGTATAATGACTAACAGCTTAAAGTCTTTGAGGGTTACTGAAATAATGTACAGGAAAGGGCCTTATACAGTCCAGTAACAAATGCTGGTATTATTCTAAAAGACTAGTATTCAATTATTAAAAATAGTCTGTTTCCCAGTCACTTTGGTATCCAGTATGCCATTTGAATTTTTTTTTCCCCTTTATACACTCCTCTACATAAAAATCATTAGAACTGGGCTTCCCTGGTGGCGCAGTGGTTGAGAGTCCGCCTGCCGATGCAGGGGACACAGGCTCATGCCCCAGTCTGGGAAGATCCCACATGCCGCGGAGCGGCTAGGCCCGTGAGCCATGGCCGCTGAGCCTGCGCGTCTGGAGCCTGTGCTCCACGATGCGAGAGGCCACAACAGTGAGAGGCCCACGTACCACAAAAAGAAAAAAAAAAAAAAATCATTAGAACTAAGGGACAAGATTTAGCTAACCTACCAAACCTCTAATCACAAATAAGAAATTAGTAGTATGTGCCCTGAATGCTACTTTCTGCTGAATAATGTATATTTCCCTATAAGTAACATAAATGTGACGTTTGCAGATCACAGAGAAGTGCTGTATTGAGGTTGCTTAAAAATAGTTACCTGACAGGTGAGAAGAATTGGCTTTTGAAATTCAGCTTGACATATTGAACAAATAACATCCACATCTGAACACTGTCTCTTGCTGGCAGCCACTCCGTGACTCTATAAAGATAAGAAGTTATGTTCCTACAAATTTCTTTCTTTTCTGTTCCTTAAATACATAGATGGTACTGTATTTCTCAAATCTCCAAGGAACTAGGCATTTGAAAACTCTCCCAAAGGATATAAACATTTCAGAGCTGAACTATGTATGCAGAATGATGCCTGGATGGATCGCATCAAGGTTAACTCACTATGTAATACATAATAGGATATTGGAAGATTGTTAAGATTCATTGGATTCCCAAATAATGACAGTGCTTCAAATTCAAATGGCTTAAGAGACTAAGAGATCTGAAATATAATACAGCATTATGCAATCTATATTCATGTACTATGTGACCCAGTACTGCCAAATTGAGCCCACTAACCTATGACACTTTTCAAAAAAGTCAATCCAGAGCTTGGCTGGCTGAATGTAACTCATGTAGAGACTACTTTAAAAATAGGTTTCTGTGCTCCACACTGGTGATTGATTCAGTAGGTCCAGACATACCAGGATGTAACCCAGGAATCTAATTCCTGAAAGCTCTCCACATGAGTTCAATGTGAAGGAGGTTTGGGGACCACTGAACAGTATCCTGCCACTAAATCTAAAAATAATTTTAATTATCATCCTTACTTATCACAAACAGAGCATTTAGTACTACGAAAGAATGGTAAAATTTTACAGAAGAACTGTAATTGCAAAATGTCACTTGGGTAGAGTTATACTGTCAAACTGAATAATAACACAAATCTTTGAATTTCCTTTTGCTCTTAAGTCCTAAAAAAAAGTTTCTGATCTCTTTAAGATCTTAATAACTTCCTTACCAAATTCAGTAGAATTTAGTCATTAACTAGATGTGACAAAATGTTACAAATGAGATCAGCTTTCTGTAGAAATGATGTGGAAAAGGTGGCTGAGGAAAAGAAAGAACACCCAAGTTTCAGTCATGGTAATGAGAACACAAGCATGACTTGACTCAGCAACCTGAAGCTGTGGCCTAAACTTCTTGTTATCGAGGGTTAACAAAATCAAACTAAGACTCAAAGGATGAAAACATTGAAAATTAAGATTTTTTGAGATTGGTCATGTTAAAGATTCCAGAGACAAATTGAGATACTGATGGATGATCTTGGTGCCAATTTCCCTTCAATAAATGTCATTTAGCAGAGTACACTGCAGATATATATGCTGACAAGCTTTTAAAATAGCACGCTTGTCTGGCACTTTGCATACTCCCTTCAGGTGAAGACATCCTGATGATGATTGCCATTTTCAGGGCAACATTAAAGAACATGAGAATCCCAGGAATAAAACAGTGTTCTGTGATAGTCTCTTTATGCTTCACAGAGAATATCAAAAGTATTTCAGCTGAAGCCTTCCTAGATTAATTGCTACAGCAAAGTGGCCGATACATAATCAACTGTTTTAACATTTTTTTAAAATATTTATTTATTTATTTGTGGGGCTTCTCTGGTGGCGCAGTGGTTGAGAGTCCACCTGCCGATGCAGGGGACGTGGGTTTGTGCCCCAGTCTGGGAAGATCCCACATGCGGCGGAGCGGCTGGGCCCATGAGCCATGGCCGCTGAGCCTGCGCTGCGTCCAGAGCCTGTGCTCCGCGACGGGAGAGGCCACAGCAGTGAGAGGCCCACGTACCGCAAAAAAACAAATAACAAAAAACAAAAAAAAACCTTAATACATTACTGTCTTTAGGAAAGGGTGCCCTGGCCAGTTCGTTTACTCTACTTTGTTGGTATAATCCTGTTTTTTTTTAAACATATATTATTAGATTGGCATTCTTGTACATCAGATTCCCCTGTGTCCTGACCACATAATTGTTAAGTACCTAATGGACTGCAAAACTGAGAATCAAACTCTGAAACCTGGTGATCACACTTATATACTGAGAACTTCTGAGGCTACTAAATAGCAAATGAGCTATTTATCATTTGGGCTATGATACACTTTTTCTGCAGTTTGTTACATCAGTCGAATAACATAATAAAGTTACAGTTGACACTGGAGTCTCAATTTATTGTTAAAATTGTTTTGTTATTGTTAAATTTACTGTTATTGTCATGAACTTATTTGTGCATACAGAACTGCGTATTGGGGAAATTTTTCCAGTAAGAAAATTTCAAGGAACATGATTTTTGGTAATAAGCTTTCTTCATATACACAATAAATTATAGTATAAGCACTTTCACAGAAGTTGAATAGGAGTTAATGAAAGTACACAAAGCTACTATTTGTGGCTTAAATAAAGGAAGAGAAACAAAAGTTCATAAGATTTTTAAGGGAATGTTTATAAACCCTTAAGAATGTCAAGTGATTGGAAAGGGCAAGAGGCAAACTCAAATATATAAGTACTTCATCAACTATCAGGTGGTTGTCAATGTGCAAGTTAAACTTATCACAGAAACAAAACCTCTATTATCATCACAGCCCCAAGTGCCAAAGTACAAAAAGTTTTTCTAAAAAACCACGTAATTATGAAATCTGCATTTGTAAAACTGCTGAACTAAAACATTTTTATAATGTAGAAAGAAAGATAAAAAGTGTTTTTTCTGATTTAAAAAATACTTACTGGTCGTGTAAAAAATATTCGCAAAACCCGTCTAAAAGTTCTCAGATGTCCAAAAAAGTCCAGAAGCTGAAAGAGAAAATAATTCATTTATTCAAAGAGCCTTACCTGCTAAACTCAGAGATCAAAGCTAATATCAAATACTGATATTAATTTTATGCTCATTGCATATCACAACTAATCATTTCATTCTAAATATATTTAAAGTCCAATTATGGAATATTTTACTCAATTTATCAATTTCAGCCAACTCAACCAAAATGAAGTACATCTGAATGCCTAGAGTTACAATTTGGTCAAGATAACTATAAACTTAAGTAAATCAAAGGCAAGGCAATTTTATCTGGTTCACATGTCCTTAACCTATTTAACGTTTCATTAAGTGATTAAGCTGAGGGGAACAGGCATAGAGGGAACAGGACAAGATACTCCACTAGTTTGAGAATTATGTGTATGACAGATACTACTGTAGGGGATGGGTATGGTCTATTCTACTTGTTCCCCTCCACCTTAGATAATCCATGCTTAGAGGTCCACTCCCCCAATAAAATCTGAGAACCACTGGATTAAGATACCTATTTCCATTTCTCCATTTCTAAGTAAATATAGAATCTGCCATTACTTCAAACTAGTGATATGAAAATAAACTATAAAATATATAAAGAGAAAAGCAGTCATATGTAAAATATGTAAACAGTATTATATGAATCATTATAAATGATAAGATTTATTATGTTACCTACTTTTAGTATGAGGTAGAGTAAAGCCAGCAATATCCCAAGACTCCATCTAGTTACATTACCAAACTCCCCAGAGCTTATAAGGTAACGAAACCAAACTGGTACGGGGACAAAAGTTCGGTAATACTGACATAATTCTTCTAAAACCATATACCAATAACCCTAAAAAGGAAGAAAAAAGAAAACAAATAGAGCCACCCAAGGTACTTACATGCACAATGCAAATACTTCACATTGGGCTGAGAACATCATGGGTATATGGCACAATAACACAACTATAAAATTAATCTTCATAATGATAATGGTTATGACTGACAACCTCAACTTGGTTCTTTAGATATTACAGTCACTGAGTGGTCTGTTTTCAAAGAATTTCTAAAGAGTGACTGAAAATGTTTTATGTATAATAAAACATTTTGCTGATTATAAAAATTTAAAAGTTTTCATTGAATATGAAAGAACACTGAATAACTGCCTAAGTCAGTTATCAATTATCAATTAATAATGCCCTGGAGGAAAACAGAAGTATAAATATGTATTTTCCCATATATGATGTGGGGACTCATTTTTAGATTATTCCAAAGCAAATATAATTGATTTTATTGGAATAGATTAATATTTAGGTTCAAGTCTTTGACCAAGTAGCTGCCAGTCTGAGATAATAATTAAAATTAGGTTATTGAGCAAACTGAAAAATTACAGAAGGAATCATTTAAGCAAAGACTAAATAGCATTAATATGGTCTGCTAACATCTTTCCAATAAAACATATTACTTTCTTACCTTGGATTTAAAAGGCATGATGAAAGAAGGCACCAATAAAATGAGGCATTTTAAGCCCATGAAGAGGAATTTCAGAATGAAGTCTGTAATTCCAACAATCCAAAGTACGTCCCAGAAGCTCGAATAGTCCAAAGTAGGATTTAAAAAAATTAAGCTACCAAGAGAAAAACATCAAAACTTACCAGAGCAACATAAAAAGATAAAAGTGTCGATAGGGGTTCTAAATTTGCTACCAAATATTTAATTTGATGTGTAAAAATAAGAGTTTGGCAAGATGCTAGAGTTCATGTAAATGGAATGGAAGATCATTTTGCTTATTTTAAAGAGACCTTTTAGGGACTTCCCTGGTGGCACAGTGGTAAAGAATCTGCCTGCCAATGCAGGCGACACGGGTTCAAGCCTTGGTCTGGGAAGGTCCCACATGCCGCAGAGCAATTAAGCCTGCGCACAACTACTGAACCTGCGCTCTCAAGCCCGCGTGCCACAACTATGGAAACCCACACGCCTAAGAGCCTGTGCTCTGCAACAAGAGAAGCCACTGCAATGAGAAGCCCGCGCACTGCAAGGGAAGAGCAGGCCCTGCTCACCACAACTAGAGAAAGCTCACACGCAGCAATGTAGACCCAATGCAGCCAAAAATAAATTTATTAAAAAAAACTTCTTAAATGTTTGAATTTCAAATCTTCCCTCAATAAAGAACGAGTCTTCCTAACTTGTCATGATTGATATCTTTCTAGCCTATAATCTAAAAAACTCACAAATACTCCATAGCTGCCAGTCTGTCTTCAACCAACTCCAGTCAGGAATCTAACCCCTCCTTTCCACTGAACTGTTTTTGTCAAGATTGCCAACTCCCTCCCTCTTGCTAAATTCGAAGGTCACTTTTTCCCCCTCTTCTCTCCTTGAAATACTTTCTTCCTAGACTTCTGACACCACTCTCTTCTAGTTGTTCTCATATGTGACTGATGGTTCCTTTATTTTAAAATTTATTTATTCATTTATTATTTTTGGCTGCATTGGGTCTTCGTTGCTGCGCGCGGGCTTTCTCTAGTTGCGGTGAGTGGGGGCTACTCTTCGTTGCGGTGCATGGGCTTCTCATTGCGGTGGCTTCTCTTGTTGTGGAGCACGGGCTCTCAGCGCAAGGGCTTCAGTAGTTGTGGCACATGGGCTCAGCAGCTGTGGCTCGCGGGCTCTAGAGCACAGGCTCAGTAGTTGTGGCGCACGGGCTTAGCTGCTCCGCGGCATGTGGGATCTCCCTGGACGAGAGCTCGAACCCATGTCCCTTGCATTGGCAGGGACACTGCGCCACCAGGGAAGTCCCTGATGGTTCCTTTTAAGTCTCCTTTGCTGCTCCTCCTCTGGCTAATTGTGGGCATGTCCAGTCCTGGGCCCTCTCCTCTGTCTATACTTTTTTTCCCTGGTTAGTCTTGTCAAGTTCCTTGGTTTTTAAATATCAACCATATGCTGATAACACCAAAATTTACAGCCCTAACCTCTACTCCGAGCTCATGACAAATATCTATAATCACTTTAACAGTTCTACATGGCCTCTCAAACTTAACATGTTCAAAAAAAAATTACTGATTTTCCCTCAAAACCAGTTCCTTCCCCAGTCTTTCCCAGCCCAGTAAATGGCACCACCATCTAGCCAGTTGCTTAGACTAAAAAAACCCAGTATCACCCTTGATTCTTCCCCCTTACCTACTCACCCAATCCAATCCAAGTGGTACTTGGCTACACCTACAAACTATATCCCAGATTTGTCCACATCTCTCCAACTCCACTGAAACCAGGACTTCTAATTATCTGATTAAAGCTGAAAATTCAGAACACTTCCATCTGACATGGAAACTTATCAACTACTGTCCTTTAGCAAGTCTTCTTCTAGAGACAAAGATCAAGTGTTCTTATCACACATACACACAAGAAGGTAACTAAGGGAGGTGATGGATATATTAATTACCTTGATGTGTAGGTAATCATTTCACAATGTATACATCTATCAAAACATGTTGTATATTTTAAATATATACAATTTTTATTTATCAAAAATAACCAAAAAAGATCACCACCAACAACCTAATGGTATTTAGTAACTACTGATTATATAAGTAAAAATTTAAGTATCAAAAATTAAGTATTTATTGAGCACTTGCTGTGAGGCAAGGCACTGGGTATAAAAATGTGAGTAAGTCACTTTAAGCTCTCAATCTTGGAAAGAGACAGGTAAAAATTGAACTCTAAGAATGTGCAAGTAAGATATATGCAAAGTGCTATGGAATATACGATTACATAAAAATATGATTGTGCACTTGGACCTCTAATTACCTGTAATAAAGTGACTGAGAATGAAAGGTGTAATATAAAAGAACAGAAGATCCTGCTAAGAATACCAGTAACCAAGCACACTGAATCTTTGAGCACCTTTCCTGAAAAATAAACAATTTTATAATTTATTACTTTGAATTATGCCAGAATTTTAAATATCATTAAACTATTTTAATGACTAATTTATTAACTTAGAACGTTTTAATAGATTAATTTATCTTAATAAAAATACAGAATATTTGTTAAATTGTACATCATCACATTCTATTTTATATACCTTTAGTGAAAAAAACAAAACACATACTTAAACAGATTTTTAAAATACAAGTTTCCTCATTGTGTAACATTACCTATGTTTCAAAGCCAAATCTTCTACAGACTGACATAAAGGACCTACGTAAATAAAAACTTCTGCAGCTTCCCATTTTTGCCTTCCCAACAAAACAGACTTTTAAAAACTGCATTTATGGGCTTCCCTGGTGGCACAGTGGTTGAGAGTCCGCCTGCCGATGCAGGGGACATGGGTTCGTACCCTGGTCTGGGAAGATCCCACGTGCCACGGAGCGGCTAGGCCCGTGAGCCATGGCCACTAAGCCTGCGCGTCCGGAGCACACTCCGCAACGGGAGAGGCCACAGCAGTGAGAGGCCCGCGTACCACAACAAAAAAACAAAACAAAACAAAAACTGCATTTATGTTACCAGGGTTTATAAATATAATTTTAAAAATTCTCAATTCAATAAGAATTTAATAAAATAATATTTTTAATCTCAGTTTTATAATTGTTTTAATTACTAGTTTAAAAATTTTACTAGTTTTAAACCTTGAATTAAACTTTTATGGTTTGATAGGTTCTAACTAGGAATTTTCAGGTCAAAATGTATGATCCTTTACACAGATATAACCCTTTAAAGTTGCCTGAAATTTTATAAACTAATCCTGTTTTCCCAATAATTTACATGAATAAGAATCTTTTATAATTTCTTATGGAAAAACTTCTTGGGTTTAGTTTTCTTTAAATAAGAGAAACCTAAATAAATAGTTCAATACCCATTTATTCAGTGTACGTTTTATTTAACTATTTTAAATCTTATAGTACAACAGCTGAAGTTTTTAATGATGATTATATTACTTAGTATGGTCAAACTAACTTAAAACATGATAGCACGACAAATCAGATCAAATAGTGTGTTCTAAACCTTTTAATCCTTCTGTCTAGTTTTTCTTTATCAGGAACCCAATATACAAAGAAAATAAGGTGAATCAATTCAGTATTAGGACAGATCATTTATTCCAGGTCATTCAGATAACAACATTTAATATATCATGGATGGTACATTATGTCTATTTAAATTTATCAAATAAACTATCTTATCTTTATTCCTATTTCTCTCAAAAATGAATATATAATTCTACAGGGAGAAACATTTAATGATTTTTTAGTTGCTGGTTATACTTACTCTTAGAAAAACCTGATTTACAATGCTTTTGTTTGCATATATAAAAGTTGTAAGCAGCCCAATTCCAAGAGAAATTCCTGTTAGAAAATAAGGTCCAGTTAATTGAAAGGGAAGAAAAAAAGCTAACATGACATGAATTTAAAGGAAGCATATACAATTTTAAAAACTAACAAAATAAGAAACTGAAATACATAGGTTAAAGTATTGATTACCAATAAAGAAAGAAAATTAGCTGCATATAGTAATGAAACAGCTCAATGTTTTATTATACCTACCTGTTATATGCTGCATAACAAGTTTGACACCCAGAATCAAAATATATGGAAGACCTTTTTGCAACCACTTGAAGAGATATCGGAATTCTGAGAAGGAGCTACTACCATGATCTCCAGACTCCATCTCGGTATCATCAGGTTGCCTTGCTTCATTGTGGGAGTGACTCCGTAAGCGACTGTGTACACATCCATGGGTACAGCCATGGACACCTGACCTTATATTTCTGGAGCTTGGATTTTCAGCACATTCTTTAGGCATGGAGCTTATCTGAACATGAACATCTCCAGAATAAAGACAGGAAGCTTCTCCTGTCAATCTTGTTTGGACACACTGGGAGGCTGAGGCATCCTCACTGCCTGCAGCTCCTGAAGGGCTGTGCAGTTGGCTACAGTTGGCTTGCATGACCCCTGAATACTTTTTCTGTGATCCAGATTTCTTTGCTTCAGGGCTCTGTCTCCTAAAAATCAAAGCGCAGAAAATATTCTAAGTGAACAGTTAAGTACAGGCAATATATTGCTCACTAGGAATAATTTATTCACTAAAGGAGAGGCTGATAGTCACAGTACCTGAATTATTTCCAGGTTATCTATTGCTTATTACTAGACTCCTCCATCTCCCTTTATGCGAAGGCTCTGCTGCCCTAGGCAAACTATCCTTTAGGGAACATCTGCTACCAAAAAAGTTTAGGTTCAGATGCCTCCAGTTCTCTAATGACAGAAGGAACTGGCAAAATAGTCAAAGTATGGGTGCTCAGCAGATGTTAATAATATGAGTACTAGTACTCAATCATACTAGAACACTTAAGTACATTTACTTTGTTCAACTGGAACAGTTTCATCTCTGATGTAGATTCTACATCTAATAAGAGTATTTTTTTAATGTGTGGAAAGGTTAGGAAGAAAAAAGCATCAAATCTTAACTCCTCATTAAGTATCATCATGGAGAACTAATAATAAACATTTCATTTAGGTGACCTACAAATTTCGTTTTATGCTGAAACAGCTTTCCCAAAGCTAATAAAAAAGTTTCCAATAATTAATACCAAGAGTATTACCTTTTCCTGTCCCCCCCCAAGGATGTTACCTAAATACCTTTAAAATAGGAAGACTTGGGGAGTCACCATGTAATTGCTAAGTGACTCTTTATTCTGAATTAGGATAATTACATAGTCTGCACATAAATAATGCCACCTTTGAGGGGAGGGGCGTCGGGAAAGAGAACACTGGCACTGAAAGATCCCTAAATGACGAGTGTGGGTAGCCGTCGAGGATCCAGCTGACGAAACGCAGAGCCTTTCTGCCGTTTCTGTAGGAGAAAGCTGGGGTTAACGTCAGGGCATGTTCCGTGTCATTCTATTTCATTCCTAGGTTTGGAATTTTTTTTCTTTTTTTTTTCAGTTACTGTTGGGCGGTTTGGTTTTTAGTGCCATTCACTAGAGGCTTTCACTGATGTTCCAACGCCACGACTGCTATTTATTTCCTCCAACCTCTGAAGAACGACGCTGGACGGGAGAATTTCAGCGTCTTTTTCCACAAATAAAAACAGAACCCTCCCGCTTTCCTCCAAGTACGAGCAAGAAAGGGGTGAAAAAGGGAAGAAAAGTAAACGCAAAGGGCTCTTCCGGAATCTCCAGGACAGATTTTTCCTCCCACGTTCGACCTTCGAGTGCCTCAGTTATTCTCCCCAGAGCCCATTTCGCCGCGGCCCCTCGCCTCCTTCGCCCGCTTCCCCCAGGCCTGACCTCTCATGACGATGAGCGCACCGAGTCCCGGGCAGCGACTGCAGAAACACCGGGAGATGCCGCCTCGAGGCCTTCAGTCAAGGTCATCACCTTCAGACCCACCGCCACCAACTCCCGCCTAGCTCGGCGGCAGCGGCGGCAGCGCGCGCGCTCCCGGACGTCCTCACGCGCGCGCGCCCCGGCCCCGAGCGACGCGCCAAGGGACTGGCAGCGACGACGGGGCGGGGCAGAGGTTGCCTGGGGGTGTTGGCTGTGAAGAGGCGGCTGTGGCCGAGAAGCGCCCGCCCGCGTCTGCGTTAAACAATAAGCGAATGTGCGTAGGTTTGTGTAATTCGCCCCAAGCCGGTTAAAGGTCTGGACTTTTGAGGTTAAAAATGTTTTAGCCTCCGGAACCTCTCCTCGAGGGAGGAGCGTGCTGTTGGGTGCTCACCTGGTCCTGCCCCCGGCGCGCCTGGCTTCTGGAAGCTGCCCAGCGCTTTGGTCCCGCTTGGCTCGCGTCTCCCGGGACCTGAGTTGGAGGAGCCACGTTGGCGAGGGGTCGGAGCGCCTCTGAGAGAGCTGGGCGGGGCGGGAGTGTTCTGGTGTCGGCTAGCTCAGCTGACCCAGTTGTGGCTGGACGGTGAAGTTTGAACTGAACTGGGTTTCCGTTACAATCCTAACTTTGCACTGTGAGAACAAGGCCCTGCTGAAACCTGAGGAGATAGAATCGGAGAGAAGTGGGGGACGGTTTGGGTGGTGGGAGGGGTGGAAGTAGAAGTTAGAGTTTAAAAAACTTGTATGGGGTATAGGGGACTCTGTACTATCTTCGCTATAATTGTTAACCGAAAACTGTTCTAAAATAAAAGATTTATTAAGAAAAAGTTTAAACGAAAGAAACAAAGAACCTTGCCTCTTGGTCTCTAGCCAAAATATATTCTAAATGATACTTAATTGTATTCCATGAGTCTGCCCCATTCCCACAACCACCAATAGCCTTTCTGTTTTGAACCTCAAGTTTTTTACCTTTAATTTCTAGAAATTGACGTGAAGTAAGTAACTCTTGGTGGTTAGGTCTTGAAATTAAAAATCCGTGCCACGCTCGAGGTGTGCAATCTTCCCTCACTAGAAGAGGGTAAATTTTCATACATGTGCACGCATGTCATGAGTTGAATATCTAGTGGGAAAAGTGATACCTTGTCTTTTTACTGGTCACTGATTTAAAACCATTCACAACTTTGCGCAAGTTAGTTTGCTGGTGTGTGAATTTTTAGGCTTCTTAATCATGAAATTGTTTGCACCTTATTTTCTCCTATTTCAGAGTACAACTGAATCCACTGTTTAACCTGAATTAACCACTTTGAGGTTGTACTTAAATCATATTAATTTTATTACCAAACCATTTCCCTTGGTTAGAAAGGCACTCTCCCAGTCCCCACCAACTGGTATTAGATCTGCTTCCCCTTGAGATATTGCAAGATACTTGCTTTTGTGTGTGTGTGTGTGTATGTCTCCATGAGCTTCACTAATGTAAGTCTTCCTGAGAAATTAGGTTTCTGGGTCAGTACGTCTGTCTTAGTCTGTTTGGGCTGCAGTAAGATATAGCCTGGATGGCTTATAAACAGCAAATTTATTTCTCACAGTTCAGAAGCCTGGGAAGTCCAAGATCAAGGTGTCAGCAGATTTGGTGTCTGGTGAGTCCTGCTTCCTGGTTTATAGACCGTGTTGTCTCCGGCTGTGTCCTCACATGGTTGGAGGGTGGTGGAGCCCTTTGGAAACACTTTTATAAGGGCACTAATTGCCTTCATGAGGGCTCTGTCTTAATGCCTTAATCACCTACCCCCACCTGCTTATACTATCACATCGGGGGTAGAATTTCAACATATGGATTTTGTGGGGGACACAAAAATTCTGTCTGTAGCAAAGGCTGAAGCCAAGCTCTGGGCTGTAATGAATTTTTCAAGGAGACTTATTTGTATAATATTGATATATTGTATCATTCCAACTACAACATGGATATTTTTATTTTAAACTTTAAAATTTATGAGAATTTAGGAAACAGAAAAAAGAGACTCAATCTCACATAATCCAGCTACCACCAAAATGAGGCATCAATATGTTTTAGTACATTGATAATTTTAGTATATTTGTAAATTTAGTACATTTGTGTACCTTAAATATTTTCCAGAGTTTTATGACCCAGGAATCCTTTCATGTGTTTGTTGGCCTTCTGTATATCTTCTTTGGAGAAATGTCTTTAGGTCTTCTGCCCATTTTTGGATTGGGTTGTTTGTTTTTTTGATACTGAGCTGCATGAGCCACTTGTATAATTTGGAGATTAATTCTTTGTCAGTTGCTTTGTTTGCAAATATTTTCTCCTATTATGAGGGTTGTCTTTTCATCTTGTTTATGGTTTCCTTTGCTGTGCAAAAGCTTTTAAGTTTCAATAGGTCCCATTTGTTTATTTTTGTTTTTATTTCCATTTATCTAGGAGGTGGGTCAAAAAGGATCTTGCTGTGATTTATGTCATAGAGTGTTCTGCTTTTGTTTTCCTTAAGAGTTTTATAGTATCTGGCCTTAACTTTTAGGTCTTTAATCCATTTTGAGTTTATTTTTGTGTATGGTTTTATGAAGTGTTGTAATTTCATTCTTTTACATGTAGCTGTCCAGTTTTTCCAGTACCACTTATTGAAGAGGCTGTCTTTTCTCCATTGTATATTCTTGCCTCCTTTGTCAAAGATAAGGTGACCATATGTGTGTGGGTTTATCTCTGGGCATTCTATCCTGTTCCATTGATCTATATTTCTGCTTTTGTGCCAGTACCATACTGTCTTGATTACTGTAGCTTTGTAGTATAGTCTGAAGTCAGGGATCCTGATTCCTCTAGCTCCATTTTTCTTTCTCAAGATTGCTTTGGCTATTCGAGGTCTTTTGTGTTTCCATACAAACTGTAAAATTTTTTGTTCTACTTTTGTGAAAAATGCCATTGGTAGTTTGATAAGGATTGCGTTAAATCTGTAGATTGCTTTGGGTAGTATAGTCATTTTGAGAATGTTGATGCTTCCAATCCAAGAACATGGTATATCTCTCCATCTGTTTGTACCATCTTTAATTTCTTTCATCAGTGTCTTATAGTTTTCTGTATACAGGTCTTTTGTCTCCTCAGGAAGGTTTGCTCCTAGGTATTTTATTCTTTTTGTTGCTGGGGTAAATGTGATTGTTTCCTTAATTTCTCTTTCATATTTTTCATCATTAGTGTATAGGAATGCAAGAGATTTCTGTGCATTAATTTTGTATCCTGCTACTCTACCAAATTCACTGATTAGCTCTAGTAGTTTTCTGGTAGTATCTTTAGGATTCTCTATGTATAGTATCATGTCATCTGCAAACAGTGACAGCTTTACTTCTTTTCTGATTTGGATTCCTTTTATTTCTTTTTCTTGTCTGATTTGCTGTGGCTAAAACTTCCAAAACTATATTGAATAATAGCAGTGAGAGTGGGCAACCTTGTCTTGTTCATGACCTTAGAGGAAATGGTCAGTTTTTCACCTTTGAGAATGATGTTGGCTGTGGGTTTGTCATATATGGCCTTTATTATGTTGAGGCAGGTTCCTTCTGTGCCCACTTTGTGGAGAGTTTTTATCATAAATGGGTGTTGAATTTTGTTGAAAACTTTTTCTACATCTATTGAAATTATCATATGGTTTTTGCCTTCAGTTTGTTAATATGATGTA